ATATAAAACCTTTTTTAACGGAAATCGGTTTAGCTTCGACGTTTAATTAATTATTCTTTAAATACTTTTATTATTATTCGCTAACTTTTAAAGTTATCGTTAATATACTCGGATAATCTTTAATCACTAATGCGAAAGCTATATTCGATATAAATACAAAAGTCAGCGTTATTACTTATAACGCCGCGATTAAATTCGAAGTCTTTATAGCTTACGATTAAAAAATAAGCTTTCGAATAATCACCGGTTTTTTATGGCGCTTTATCGGATACGCCGATAATATATTTATTAATATTAAAAGTGCTACGATTTATACTCGATTTTACGTTATAGATTCGTTAAAGTTTCGACTTATATTCGATTACTTTTTTATACGTAAAACGAAAATCGGTCTTCGATATTTTTTAAATTATAAAAGTAATTTTGTTATTATTATAATAACTAATCCGTTTATAAATTAAGTTACTTAAGCTAAAGTAAGCGATAAAACGAATTAATATAACGAAGCCGTCGATCGCTTAAAAGAGCAAAGTATAAGCTTTATTTATTACGATAAATCTTCGAGTAGCAATAACAGCGACTCGGAAAACTAATAATCGGCCTCGTTAAAAGCGCTAAAGTCGGTATATTAAAAGCTTTTTGCTTTTCGCTTAATTTCGAAAGCGAAACGTTATAGTATCGAAAAAAAGACGACTTTATTACTTAAGAGCAGTTTATCGATGTTCTTGCTTTTACGAAATGCGATCTTTTAATAACTTATTAAATAAATACCGTTAGCATTAATAACTTTATAATTCGTTGTTACGATTATATCGATTATTAAAATTCGATACTTTATTAAACTCGAAAAAAGATCTTTTCGAACTTAGCTAAAGTATTCGATATATATAAGACTAAAGATAAAAAGATTAAGCTAGTTGACGAAGCAAACGGCGTAAAAGCAGTATTAAATAGCAAAGTTAATTAGTATAAGCTATCGAAAGCTAAAGATACGTTACAAAAGCAAATAAAAAAATATAAATAATACTTTTTTCCGCGTATTGCCGATATACCGAAAGGCTTTCGAATCACACTTAAACGTATAACGAACTTAAATATCGATAATACTTTACGGCTTAAAAAAAAAGATTTATTTAAAAAAATAATATTAAGTAAAGAAAAATCAATCGCATTCGCTTAATAAAAGTACGATAAGTTCTACGACGACGTTTCACCGCTGATTAAGCTTAAAACTATTTTATATATAGCTTAGCAAGCTTTTAACTACTCGTATCCGAAAGCTTTATAGCTTATTATTATTAAAATGCTTTAAGACAAGCTTGATAAAAGAGTTTTAAAGTATTGCGAAAAACCGTACCGAAATCAATAGTTCTTAATAGTTAAAAAGCAGCCGAGCTAGTATAGACTTATCAATTCAGCAACTTTACTTAATGCAATTATATAAAAAGACGCTAATCTACCTTTAATTATAAATAAGTTTACTAAAAAGTTTTTTAATTGCTAGATAGCTAGCTTAATCGACTTTTATTCGAGTTATAATTAACAAACACTTTATCAATCGAATAAAAACTTTATCGCTTTCTTTATACCGTTAAGTCTTTTCCGATATATTACTTTTTCGTAAAGTATTATAAACTCGGTAGCTAAATTCGTTCGAATAATTAATTTTATCTTAAAGCTTTTGCAACTTAAAGTCTTTATGCTATTTATCGACGATATTAAAATAAAAAAACTATAAACGGACTATTCCGACGAAAAAGCACTTTCGAGTATACGCTAATTCGTACTCGAATATATTTAAAACATCGATAAAACTTTAAAACGGATTAAGCGCGCTAATGCTATAATTAAAGAAAAATCATAGTTTTATTAAGATAAAATAAATATAATAAGATTCGTATGCAATTCGAAAAGTCGAGAACCCGTTACGGATAAAGTTATTAAGATTAATAGTTAAAAAACTTTCGAAAACGTTATTAAAATTAAAAGATTTTTAAGCTTTTGCTTTTATTTTCGCATTTAAATCAAAAGATTCGCATATATTGCTAACTTTTTTTATAACTTTATAAAAAAAGATATAAATTAATAATAAACCGAAGCGTATTCGAAAGTTATGCGAATGTTATAAAACGCTTTAACGACGGCTTCGATTTTAATTAAAATCGATTACGAAGATTAAAATAAAAAAATAATAATAAAAACAAACGCTAGCTTAAAAAGATAAAAAAAAAATATCGGCTAACGCGAAACTACTTTTAATAAAGTGCAACCGGCTTAATACGAATCCGAAGCTTAAACGGAAGCAAAACGGAACTACGACGCTATTAAACGAAAGTGCCGCGGAATACTTAAAGTTTTTAAAAAACTTAAGCTATAGATTATCGAAATGCATTTTATCTTTAAAATTAACGTTAAAATGCTCGTTATTTAACTTTAATAAAAAGCTATCGATATACTCTCGGCTTTAGTTATACGCTAGTTAATTTAAATCAATCTTTTCGATTTTAAAATACGATATATCTTCGATAAAAATTACACCGTTGCTAATGCATTATTAAAACGGCTATAGCACTTTAATAATTTAAGCGAAAAAAACGAGAATAAGTTCGATAACAACTTATTAACCGACTTAAAACTTATTAAAGCTTAAGACGGCTTTAAAGAACTTTCGACGGACTTTTTAATAAATATTCGTTAGTTTATTTTTAAAGATATGTTTTAACGCTCGAAAGAAACGAAAAATATAAACTTAAACGAGTTTAACGACGATTATAATTACGAAAGCTTTTTAAACTTAATCGAATACTTTTTAAAATCAATTCGAATAGCTACTTTTTTAACGACCTTACGAAGACTTAAAGACTTAAACAAAATAAAATGTCGTAAGTTTAAAAAAAAAGCTATTAAGTACGAAGTAAACGATAAAAAGCTTTAAAAACTTTCGACGAAAAGCTTTCTTTTTTAATTAATAATTAATAAACTTTCGATTAAAACGGATATTATTACGGCTTATCACGATAAAAATAATTATAAAAGCCGTAAATCAACTTATTATCGTATTTCTTAACGTTACTTTTAAAATAAATGCTATACGGACGTTAAACGATTCGTTAAGATTTATAAAGAATATTAACACCGAGCAGCTAATAAGCTCGAAGAACTATTATATTTTACTCGATCTAATAGCTTAATAAAACGTTAAGCTATCGATATTACTTATCTACTTGCACGTAATAACAAAAGCTATTTAATTATTATTAAAAATAATGTAATAAATAAGTCGAGACGAAAGCGATTCGGACCTAAGACTCGCTTTCGGTAGTTAAGTTTATTTAAAAAGATATTATTTGCCGCTATAAGATTTTCTTTTAATTAATAATCGACGGAAGTTCGGAGTTTAAAAAAAAGTAATCGACTTATTTAATAATTAAAAAATCAATCGAATCGTAATCTTAATATATTACTTTTAAGCAAATAAAATAATAAAACGCGGCTATAGACTAATTAAAAACGTATTAAGTAAGCTTAAAAGCACCGACTAAATTACGCAATTACTAGCCGTTTTATTCGCCGATCGCACTTCGATGTATACTTTTACCGGATTCACTTCTTTTTATATAATATACGATAAAAAATCAATGCTTCCGATTAAGACTCGAATCTAGTCTTAAGCTACGTTATTTTAAAAATTAATAATTAATCGTACTAAGCTTATCGAATTAAAAGCACGTTAATTTCGAATGCGAGACGAAGATATTACGAAAGCTATACTTAAGAAAACTCGCTGCCGCTAAAAAAGAAAAGATGCTTTTAATAATAAAAAAAACTTTTAAATCAGACTTTTAAAAGTAAGTAACTTAGTCTTTAAGCACGACTCGATACGTAAAGTAAATATATTTAACGTTAAAAAGCTAGATTTTCGATAGCTTAGCTTTTATTAAATTTCGTCGGTAAATATAAAAAGATATTATAAATTAAAAGAGTTAAAAGAAGACAAAGCTTTATTAAATAAAACATTTATTAGCAATCGATTAAAAAAGTTCTACGTGCGATACACTTTCGAAGCGTTATCATTTCGCTTTAAGCTTTAAACGAAGAGATCTTTAAAACAACTTTTATTAGATAATATAATTAAGTCCGGCCTTTAGATCAAGCGCTTAAATAGATTTGTCATTCGATTACTTAGCTTTACGAAAGAGCAACGAAGCTAATACGCAAGAATTTCTATAAATAATAATAAAGAAGCAACAAAGAGTGATTAAGTTATAAAAGCATAATTATACGTAAAAAAAAAAACGAGTTTAAATTTGATTTTTAATTTTTTCTTTATTTAAGTTTAGTTTTTTTTTATTTTCTTTTTTCTTATATTTTTTTTATTTCTTTTTTTATATTAAAAAGCCTTACGTTATTACACTTATATGCTTTCGATCTATTATATACAAGTATATTATATATACAAAGCAGACCTTACTCGAAAGCTGAATAAGAAAAGCATACGAAAAATCTATTGTATTATGTAGTGCTTACGAGCACTAAGATCAAGAAGAGATTCTGTGAATTGAATGAAGCTTAGTATATTCTATCTAAGAAGCTCGTCAAGATCTATATACATGTACTTAAGAGCTTTAGTATGCTAAAAGCGCTACTAAGCGAAGTCACATGATATGTTATATATAGCTTAAGTAGAACTATGCTTGTTCCGCATAACACACCTTTTAAGTCAGCAGCGTAGCTGTTGAGCTACAAGCAAATAAAAAAGAAAAAAATAAGTGATTAAGCTTTTTAAACTCGATGTAAACAAAAGAGATTATTATCGCAGTTTAAATAAACAAATAGCGGTTGTCATTGTTGATTGAGTATCAGTCAAGAATGCAATTCTTTTTTAAGTCGGTCTTATTACGTAACGGAGGTTTTTAGCGCCGTCTTTATCGCGTTGCTATATAAATAAGAGCGCGTCCGTTTCTATTATAACAAACACTTAACCTTTATCTATCTATATAATGCTTTTTAAGCAAGTAACTTAATCTAGTAGAATCGTTAAGCGCGGCCGAAGCCGTTTAAAAGTAAATGCTTTTGACAAATTAATATATTTATATTAACTATTAAGAGAATCCTTTCTTTGCTTTAGCTATTGCTATTGTTACAGCTGCGGCGGCTGCGGCGGCTATACTACGCACTCTTACCTCTAAAGCTTCGCCTTTTCTTTTAAACCTTTTTATTAAGCGCTTGCTTATGCTAACGACCGTTAAAGCTTTAAGGTGTATCAAGTGCATCAATAATAAGATTATATCGAAGTCTAATAGAAACTGCTATAATTGCGATACGAGCGTTATACGCTATCTCCGGTGTGCTAAAAGTAACTATAGCAATTGTACCGCTGCTTTTGCCGCTGCTAATACCGCTTTCGATAACTTCGTAAGCGCTAAAAACAATAATGCTATACAAAGAGTTCGCCGAAGTCTCCGAGATGCTATACGACAACAGCTCGCTTTAAATGCTGCTTTTTTAAAAGGTGCTGCTAATAGTACGAGCGGTCTAGCGAGTAGAAGTAAAGGTTTTAAAAGTAGTCCCGATAGCTTTGCAAGTTTTGCTTTTGCTTTTAAGACCTTTAATTTAAATATAGCTTTTATTAAATTAAATAGTCTTATAGCAGCGAATCGTGGTCCGGTAATTCGAAGCGCCTCGAGTATATCACTTTTTCGTAAATCAAGCTTTTTGACTTCCGAAATAATTTAATTTAAGCAGCTTCTTTTGATTAAAACTTCTTTTCGGACTTTATACAAAAGCTCTAATCTACTGCTATAGCAGCCCTTGCGCTTGCGCTAGCCGTTTTTATTGCTTCCGTCGCTTTCGCAGCTCTTGTCGCATTTATTATCGTCGCTCTTTTTACGCTAGTTATTGCGCTTGCCGCTCTCGCGGCGGCGCTCGCCGTTGCTATAACTCTTATAAAGCGCTAAGCTAAAGTAAAAAGATTGCTAAGAGCTTTAATCGATCTTTTATTATAAGAAGCGAAAAGTAAAAGCGTATAGAATAAAATAGAATAACGGTTAAGATTGCTAAATAAATGTTTTCTTTTAAATCACGTGCAAATAAAAAAAATAAAATGTAATAAGTGAATAGCATATACGTGCTATTAAAGCTTTTCGATTAACGCGCGAGCGTCTTATAAATTTAAAAGCTTGATGAAGCTCTTAAACTTTTATCGAGTCAAGTTCTTAATAAGACTATTAGCGTATATCTTTTTAATAAAAAGATATTGAACTTAAAAGCTCTTTTTAAAGTGCTCTTAACGCAATTATATATTATGAATATCGACGTAGCGAAGCTTAATAGAGATACGCTCTTTCTTTTTAACTATAAGCTTAATTGTTTATTGATTATCAATTTATCATAATAAATTACTTAAAGCGCTGCAAATCGAAAGTGCAGCTTTTTAAAAAACCGTTAAAACGCTATAGTCTCTTTAATTGTGAGAGCTATACTAAGAAGCTTCGCTTTAATAAATAATATAATAACTATATCTTGCTTTAAAGCTTTTTAAAAGATCGCACCTTCAAATAAAAACATAATGTATCTTTAAGAAAATCGCTTTGTCTCTTCGTCATCAGCGTAAGAAGCGTCAAAAGCTATTACTAGCTCCGACTTGCTGAACTAGCTGTATTAAATACCTTTGAAGCGCGAGCTAAATAAATATCGCAAACACTAGTTTACAGCTCGAAAGTGCTACGCGCTTAAATTAATACTAAAGTAAAAGAGTTAAGAGGCTGCAAAAGCTATATCTAAGCGTAGTATGATCGTTATATATAACACGGATCTAACCTTCTCTTAATACTCTTTTACTTGCTTTCGCGAAGCTATCTTTTTATTTTTAATTAAGTTATAAAACGATAATAAAGTTGCTAAGCAGCGTCCGTCCGTAAGTTCGAATTTCTTAATTATTTTTTCAATATAAGCGTCGTACATAAGCGTTAGCGTTTTTCGCTAACGATCTCGAGCGATTCTTATATTAAGAAACCATTTAATATCTTTTATCGCTTCGATCTCATACGCTTTATTAAGACCGTTAATGATTTCTTGCGCTTTAAAAAGATTAAAGTAATAGTATATGATTTGAATATCGTTTACGTAAAACGTTATAAAGACCGTTTTGTTTAGATTCGTGAAAATATACGATTCTTTATCGAATAGCGTAAGCTTTAATTTATCGAGTATGCTTATAAAGTTGAAATATTATAAAGCTAGCGAGTCTTTAAATCTATATAAAGCTTTATCAACTTTTACGAGCATACCTTTTTGCTTAAAACCGTTAAAGAAATAACACGTAACTAAAACGCTATCCGTGTGTTTTATAACGTTAATAAAAGCGTTAACGATATCGAACTATTTTACTTTTAAGTCAAATTCGGCTATTATAGCTATCATGATTTTAAAAGATCTAGCTGTTAGCGTAACCGCGTAAGTTAAATAGATAATAGATTCGTCTTAAAAATCACTTTTAATAATAATCTTTAATCTGAACCTTACGATCTCTTCGGACGAGCTAGTTTTGTATATAAACACTTACTTAAAAAGTATAAGTTTTGACTTAGCTTCGCTTTCGAGAATCACTTTTTAACAATTCCTTTTTTCTAGATTATTCAGCTTTATAAGAGCTCCGTTTTTAAACTCTTTGCTATATAAGTATCGTTATAACTCTTTTTAATAAGTAAAAGGTTTTAAATGTTTTCGTTCTTGCGGTTTAAGCTGTTTTAATAACAGCTTAAACGAAGTAGCAATTGTTATGATAGCGTACAATGTTTCGTAATCTTTGCTATCTTCGCGCACGAGTTCGTTATTAACTTAAAAAGTCGATACAAAATCTAAGACGCGCGAATAGCGGTTCGAATCGGCGCGAGAGTTGTCTAATAAAAGCTTATTAACACTTGCGTATATCTTCGCGCGTTTTTTAATACGGCTATTAATAAGTGAGTGCTTTTTATTAAAATCGGAATTTTGTTTAAAATGTTTATAATCTAATTTCTTATTATCAATAGTCGCTTTAAAAAGGTCTAATAGCTCTTTTTTAATTATTCGATTTAAAACTCCGCCGGATATTAACGTAAAAGCTCTCGTTAATCGGCTTATAACTTAGCCTTTTAAGCCTCGGCTTTAAATAACAACTTAAGGGTATGATTTGCGCGCTCTCTTATTAAGGCTAGGTTTTTGCTCGTCTATAATGCTCCTCTTTGCTTTTAGCAGTCTTAAAGCACTTTCGCTTTTGCTTTTAGTTAAAAAGCTAGCGAGACGGTTAACGGTGTAATTCGAATCGTCAAAGTCTATTAGATCGTCTCGTAAAGCAATTACCTTTAGTATAGACGTATCTATAAGGTCTTTAATTAGAGTTAAAGCTCTTAACGTTTATGCATCGCTCGGATTAAATAAAGTCGCATTCTTTAAGCTTTAACTAGATCTTTTTAAGTTAATCTTTATAAAGTCTAACGGCTGCTCACCTTTTACATCAGCTGCATTCGTCTCTTTTAAGCGATCCTTTGCAACGTTCTTTATATTAAATAAAGCGTCTTTTGTTTGATTAAAGTCTTTAATATCTTTTAGTTTAATAACGATTCTTTTAATCTCGCTAATCGGTTAGCCGACCGATTTTTTTTCGTCTTTAAAATAAAATTAAACCTTATCGAACGTTACGTTGCGTATAACAATCACTTTATAAAGTACAAGAACATAGACCTTGTATATATTAAAAGCTATATATCTAATTAAATAACTTATATATCCTTTTAGTTTGATCTTAAAAGCTTTTTTATTACGAAAAGCTTTTCGGTTCTTGATTATTAAGTACGCACGAGCGCTATACGCAACTAAACCGCTACAATTTAGTCTTAAGTCGGTGTCGATCCGTATAAAAATCGCCGGATCGTATTACTTAAAATATTACTTAAACTAAAGCTGTAGCACTTTATTCGGATTCTTTATAAAGCTCCTCGCTTTCGGTGTTATATTATAGAAATAGATAACGGCTAATGTAGTCTTAAGTTAAAGCTTCTCTAAGAGCCTTGCTTTTACTCTTATTTTAATTAATCGTTCTATCACTTCTTTCTTAACTCTTTCAACTTTTCTATTAAGTTCGTAATTAAAAGATAATAAAAGCTTTAACTCGATCCCGACCTCTTTCGCTTATCTTTAGTATTCGATAAAGCCGATAATATTGACTGCGATTACCGAAGAATCGTTATTATAGCGTATAACAGCTATTAAAAGACCGTATTTGCGTTTCGTTTATACTTTAAATTCTTTTAGCACTTTTATAACCGTTAATTGCAACTTATCCTTTAATATAAAGCCGAATAGCTTTTTATTGTATTCATCTTTAATTATTAACAACTATTTGCTTTCGTCAAAACCGTTAAGAAAGTCGAATAAATCTTAAGCGATCTTATAAAATAGCTTAACTACTTTGTTATTTGACGTACGGCGAGATATAATTTATTAAGCGTGCGTAATAGCACATGCTTTATATTCAATTTTAATGATTCTTTTAAGTCTCACTCTTTTAGCATTATAAGCTAGCGCTTCGAGCGCTTTTTTGCTTAAATAACTTGTTCGTAAATATTAAAGTATCGATGAATCTTCTTTTAAAGCTCGAAAAACACTGCTCTTTTAGAATTTGTAGCGTATTTGCAAGCGCTTTTAAGTTGTAAAGAACATTATTAAGCAAAAAGAGCTACGAATCAATTAAAGCAAAGAATAGTTAAATAACTTATATTTAAAGAACGTAAAATTAAACTTCTTTTTTAACTTTCTTAAAACAACGCTTTTCTTGACTTTTTCGTAGCGAAAAGTTGCGTTATATCTTAAGTACTACACGCTAGCCTTGCTTAAAAGAGCTTTCGAGATAATATTAATATTAAACCCTTTAACGATAACGACGTTTTTTAACTTTAAATCTTCCGTCTTAACTCTATTTGATCCGTTTAAAGCTCTTTTAAAGACTCTAGTACTTCGCTCGACGATTAAAAGACTACTCGTTTTAGCTTTAATAAAGTCGGTTAAGCGAAAGCGTTAAATTGACTTTAGCTTTAAAAGATTCTTATCGTTAATAAAGTGAATAGCGCTATAATTATCGAGAAAAGTGCTATTAAATAGCTAGTGCTTATTATTAGCCGTGCTATAAAGACCGTTAAAAGCAAAATTATCGAGCGTATTAAAAAGCTCGAGATCGATAATAACTGCTAACACTTTTTTAAAATATTTTAACTTATCGCTATCGTTCGATTGCTTCTTTTTGCTTTTTAAGACGATTTTATCGACTTGAATCTATGCTTAACTTTTTTTCGTGATCTCTTTTTAAAGCGCTTTAAACTTAAGCTTTTAAAGCCTTTTCTTTATAGCGACGATATTATCTCGATTCGGCTTTACGAATCCACTTTCGTTAAGACCGTTAAAACAATAGCGAAAGATCTTATACTTAATTGCGTTTTAATAATAGTTTTTTTTTTTAAAGCACGAGCACTTAAAACTTTTAACAAGTCTTTTAAAGTTATCGGAGCGTTTATTAGACTGCTTAAAAGCAATATCGTTAGCTTTATTATCTTCGAAAGTGCTGCGAATAGTTTAATCTTCGAAAGTAGCGAATACGTTAAAGAAGTTAAAGTTCGGATTACTAATCTTCTCTTCGACTTAGCTTTCGTACTAGTTAAGATAATCGTGAAAGATGCGCTTTTAAAGCAATAATAGCTCGTCGTTTCGAATGACTTTTACGAGCTTTAACGACGCTTAAGTTAATAACTATTTTTCGCTAATAGCTTTTAAGAATGCCTTTATCGCGAGTATACTCGTCGTTTCGTAAAAGTCGTTTATTTTCGCTAACTTATAAATAGCTCGGTGTTCTTTAATCTATACCGCTAAAAAGACGCTCTTTTGCTTAGCTGCTTGCAAAGATTTGTTATAATCTCGTATTATC